AGCATTTTTGACTGCTAACCAAAAGGTTGGCAGTTCAAACCCACCAGCCACTCTGTGGAAGGAGGGCTGGGCAGTCTACTTCCATAAAGATTTACAACTTTGGAAACCCAAAGGGGATTGCTATTAGTCAGAATCGACTAGATAGCAGTGAGTTTGGTTTGGTTTTTGTTAGAGGCCATTAAGGAATTTGTTATTGATGTCAGCTGAGAATGCCTTTGCTGAATTAATTTTGTAGTTTGATTTAGAGCCTTCTGGTTAGCAGTCATATGCCTTAGGCACTATGCTACCAGAGCTCCTAATGTTTAAAATGCTGTAAGCATACAATTATGCTACAATTTGTATAACAATTTACAGTTTGCCATCATATGATGGTCATAGCAGTGCTTCCTACAAGGTGTTCATTAAACTCCCACTTTGAGATGAGACTATTAACCCTTGGTGTGCCCTGGTGGCGCAGTGGTTAAAGACCTTGTCAGTTAACCAAAGGGTTGGTGGTGGGTCAAACCCATTAGCCCACTGCACAGGTGAAAGATGTGCCAGTCTGTTTCTTCAAAGATTTATGGCCTTGGAAACTCTATGGGGCAGTTCTACTCTGTTCTGTTCGGTCACTATGAGACTTCCTGGCAGTGGGCTTGGGTGCACTTTTATGTAAATTGTCCATCATGGTTTGAGGGTTATAAAGTCAGGAGGGGTTGCTATGAGTCGGATTCGACTCCACAGCAGTGAGTTTTGTTCTGTTTTGTTTTTTAAAGTCAGAATATTTTATCCTTGACATATTTTATCCTTGACTACCAGTGATATCTTCCAGGCGTTGCAGGTACTCTGCATGTTACAAGAAGGTATCTCACAGGTATGATTGTCCTCATTTTACAGATGAGGAAGCTGAAGGTCAAAGGCGGTTAACAGAGTGAGAGAAGGCTGGGAGGTGGTTAATAATAGCTGACCTTCAGAATCAAGCTGGTTGGGTTTTTACCTGAGCTTTACCACATAAAGCTTTATGACCTTGGGAAAATTTCTTAACCTCCTTAAGCTCAGTTTCCTAATCTGTTAAAAAGACTCCTAGGACAGTAAAATGAAGTTCAAATAAGATGTAAAATGCTTACCATAGTAGATGCTCAATTAGTGTCATGAAACATTGCTAAGCAATATTTTCAAGGTGTAGATGATAGGAGGCAATGCTTGTGACAGTATATTATGTCACCTTTCTTACATTGCTTTCTGATCAAGAAAAGCAATGGATAGAGTAATTTTCACATAGGGGAGGTAGTAGGTATAAGATGAACAAATAGAGGGACAGTTTCATGGAAGGATAGAAATTATATGTATGGACAGAGAAACAGGGCATTAAGTAAGTTTTCTAAAGGGTCACATTAGTATTTTTTTAGATGGAAATGGGAATGGAATGCACCCTTCCTGGCCTTATCTTTGCGTCGTATTTATCTAAATCTTTTACCAATGATTAACCTTAAATATGAAAGCAACAGAAATATTTCTTTATTTTTGTTAGGTAGACCCATCCAATGATCATTCTCAACTTTTATTACTTAAGCATAGTTACCCATATTAAATACTATGTTTCCAACATTTAGATTACAAACATTGCTTTCAGAGAATCTGTTCTTTTTATTCTTTCTTGCTTTCAAATCCCCATTTTTAATTACATCCCATGTTGGTGCTTAATAATTTATAACATTCTTCTTCAGTTGTTCATGTCCATAGTTTATATGTCCTGCTTAAAGTCAGGGCCTGTCTAATACCTAATTACATTGGCTAATTCCCCACTAAAAGCCCAAGAAGAAATCATAAATCACTCTGAGATGGACGATCTCTTTTGTTTCTTACTCAGCTTCACAGTTGCTATTGTTAGGTGCTGTCTGGGCAGCTCTGACTCACCGGGACCCTGTGTACAAGAGAATGAAACACTGCCTGATCCTGTAATATCCTCACAGTTGTTGCTGTGTCTGAGTCTTATTGCAGCGACTGTGTCAGTCCATCTCCTTGACGGTCTTCTTTCTTGCTGACCCTCTACTTTACCAAGCATGATGTCTTTCTCCAGGGATTGCTCCATCCTGAGAACATGTCCACAGTGAGACAAAGCCTCACCATCCTTGCTTCTAAGGAGATGCTGGCTGTACTTCTTCCAGGACAGATTTGTTCATTCTCTGGCAGTCCATGGAATAGTCCATAATCTTCACCAGCACCATAACTCAAAGACATCAAGTGTTCTTTGGTCTTCCGTATTCATTGTCCAGCTTTTTACAGGAATATGAAGTGATTGAAAATACCATGGCTTGTGTCAGGCACAACTTAGTTCTCAAAACGGCATCTTTGCTAGATTTGCCCAATGCAATAGTCATTTGATGTCCTGACTATGGCTTCCATGGACACTGATTATTTATCCAAGTAAGATGATATCCTTGACAACTGCAGTATTTTTTCCATTTGTCATGATGTTGCTTATTGGTCCAACTGTGAGGATTTTTGTTTTCTTTATGTTGAAGTATAAGCTACCTGAAGGCTACTGAAAGCTGTAGTCTTTTATCATCCTCAGTAAGTGCTTCAAGTCCTCTTCACTTTCAGCAAGCAAGTTTATGTCATCTGCATATTGCAGGTTGTTAATGAGTCTTCTTCAGTTAACCCTTGATGTTTATCTGTCTTTTTCTGCTACTAATGAGTAATTGGAACTGATGTTAGTCCTAATGATTAAAATTAATTTTAAAAGATTCTTAACATGATTTATATGGTACTTTTAAAATTTGACATTGAATATGTCTACAAGGTAAAATATCTATTTTTAGGCTTACTTTCCTTAGTAATTTAAGAGTTTTGGTTTGAGTTTTGAGGGTTTTTTTTTAACAGCAAGTCTTTAAGATACGTGCTATACCTCTTAAATTGTGTCTTATACTGGAGCTTTTAGAAAAAGAGCAATGGATAGTTAACTCTGACCTTTTGAGACATTAGTGCATTTAAGCCCTTAGAAAGCAAGCCAAAAAAAAAAAAAAAAACCCTTATAAACTAGAAAGGGAGAAAAGGTTATTGTCTTCTCTACCTTTTATTGAAAGAAAATTAACCTTTCCTTTGGTCTTGATTAACTATTAGGTCAATTAATTTAGCTGACACTATTTTTTGTCCTAAGGAAGTCTGTTCTTTGGCCTTTTCAAATTGTTGCATTCAGAGGCCAAGCTTTTGGCCTCTTCTTTCAAAGTGGTATGTTTAACTTCTGCAAAGGTAAGATTTTTGGCATAAGTTTCTAGTGGTGTGGCACATACTGATTTTCACTTCCCTACATTGGGGAAAGTACTGATAATTTACCAGAAAATATATGTCAGGCATTAAAAAGTTTGATGTGATACTTTGCTCAAGCTTAGAGAAAATTCAGTGCAATAAAATCCTAGCAAAACAGGGGATCTTGAAAGGAATGCCATAATCAGTTTTGTTTAAGGGTTTTTCTTATTTAAATATTAGGTTAAAAGAGATCATAAAAAATGGAAAAATTATAATGCTATCTAAAAAAGATTATACTTTATAGCAAGGCAATCACAGGCTATGAGAAGTACACTTAATAATTAGATCTACCATTTTGTGAGCTACTATGTACTGGGAACTTCACATATAGTCTCATTATTTTTTACATCAACCGTGCAGAATAGATTTTTTGTTTTAAACACTTCATATAATAGGAAACAGGCTCAGAATTGCTCTTACATTTAATAAATGACAGAGCTGAAATTTGAACCCAGTTCTTTCAAATGCCAACATCCACATACTTATAAATGAAATAATGTTTGTGAATGTGTGACAAAATGCTAAATAAATGGTAGCTATTATTATCATTTCCATTTGGCTGTGCTGCCTTTTGGACATTAATATATTGCATAAGAGCATTCCACCTCCAATAGTAAGCAAAACAGGTGATAGAAGCATCCTTCCCTCCCATCAGACTTTTCTTCATATATCCAATCTATAAGCAGTTAGAAGATAGAATGAAGGGTAAGCCATCTTATAAGATAGAGTATTTAAGAATAAATAATGAAGAAATGTATAAATGTTTTATATGAATAGTAAATAAACTTTATTTATCTGTTCCTTCAAGATGATATTGTCAGCAGTCATAGATCTACGTACAATACAGTTATGTGTATTGAATACTTATAATTTAGTATATTTTTCCTCTGAAAAGTATGAGTACAAAAGCTAAGTAAACAATGAAGTACTGCCATCTAATTTATCATGTCATAGCTTAAAGAGCTCATCTTTAGCAAACATTCAACAAATCAATTTGGATAAAATAGTCAATTAAATGCTCTAATTTATCTTTACAGAAAACTCACTAGGTTTCATCTTATGTGCAAATCTAATTTGTGGACAACTTTAAAACACTCTAGAGGTAAAAAACAAAAAAGGTAGAAAGGCATGTATGTTCTTGGGTAGGATGATTCAATATCAGTAAGAAGTCAATTCTCCCTAAGTTGATTTATAAATTTAACATGATACTTAACAGCTAACTACCTAAGGGGTAGGGGGACAAAAGGATTCTAAACTTTTTGGAAAATACATCTGTTAATAAGAAATGGTTGATTCTTTCCCCTCCTCTGCTAGCTTATCAGTGTGTAGATATGTAGTGATATTAAAATTATTTTTATAGTTGTATGTTCTGAGGAAACTTATTCTTATAAAAAGTAGGTAGAAAGAGAAGAAATGTTTATACTAGTGTCATGCAATTTTTGAAACTCCTAAGTTAAATGGCAAGTCATGTAGTGAGCTTATCAAAAATTATTTTTAATAGCCTGTCAGCTAACAACTCAATTAGATCTTTCTTCTATTTTATTAGCATAAAATAGGATACTGTCCATTTGGCAAAAGAGTTACTCACATAGTTCATTATCATACCAGTAGATACCAATATTCCAAATCGTCTCTTTGTTTGGTGTGTAAAAGTTTTCCATTAAGACTTCTAAAAAACTACATTCTGTATCACTGTTCTTTGCCTTTTTCCACAGTTGCATTAAAATCCCCCCCAGCTGACAGAAATGGAGGCCAGGATAACTGTAGAGCAAAACTCAGAGAAGGCCTGAACATACAAGAAGGAGAGTTCTTATTACAGGTAAATTTCAGTAAATACAGTTCCTATAATAAGGAGAAATAGCAGATAGTTTTCATATTCCTAATCATCTTGTCAGATTCTCTTATTTCCTGATACAGTTGCTATCATTGCATCTGACTTTATCCTTTCAACTTGTGATCATCAACCAGTTACCACAGAAATGTGGTAAATAAATATGTCTCCAGAAGTGCAGTATACCACATAGCTTATACTTTAGATAGGAAAGCTTTTCTTTGGGTTTTAGCCAAGGGGTCACATGAAGTATAGCCCTGAAATAATCTGTAAACGTTAAACCAAAACTATCCTCTAAAGTCTTTTCAGAATTAAATAATAGTTTAGGTGTTAACTAGTAAAGATATCTGCTTTGAGCATTGAGCTCTTTAAGATGTCTATGTGAGATCAAATAGACAATGGCAACTCAAAAGATTAGATAGGAAACTTGGCGGGGGGATGGGCAGTGACTTTATGTTAATGGGGCAAGAACAGCCTGGAAAAGGATGAGGAGAATGTTTGCACGACTCCAAGAATGTTGTCCTTGTCACTGATTGTACATGTAAAAATTTCTGATCATGTTCTCAGAATATAATAATAGAGCAGGGATCTCCATGGTGAAAAGAATTGGAGTGAAAAGGAGACAGTCTCTGGAATACATGACCTCATCTGAAATTGAGGGCGTCTGCTAGACCATGTGAACAACATAAACACATGGACAACATCTTGTTAACTCTTGAATCCCAGTAGTGTATGTTTTCTTTGTCATAAAGTAGTTAATTATACATTTAATAAATTACTATTATGTATATAGCTATTTATAGTTCTCAAAGCATCTTCATGTCAGTCCTTACTTGCTCATGTCCACAAACTTATAACAACAGTGTCATTTTACATTGATTGTGTGCCAGGCACTGAATTGGATATATTCATCATATCCACCTGATAAAATCCCTTTTTACAAATGTTGATGCTAAAGCTTGAAGGGATAAAATAACTAAAGTCACGCAGTGAATAAGAGACAGGGACAGGAGTCTATTCCCTATCTGTCTGACTTCAAACTGCGTGGTTCTTGCATTAAACCGTACCTTATCTCCATTTACCGTATTTCCAAAATTAATCAGAAAGTGTTAGCCATAGCAAATAATAGATCAAGTACCAAATTGAACTTAAGGAGGAAATAGTAACATCTTAACTATGTAATTGTAGAATTAATACATGATAGCAATAAACCTTAGTGGTCTAAGATAGTTTCATTATCCAGTAGGCGAGTAGAAATATTAATTAAAATTGGACTTGAATAAACACAGGGAGAATAGGAAAAAAGGTTATAGATTTAGTTATGTGACTTAATGACAATATTGTTATTCTTAAATGTTTGTGAGTTAAAGCTTCTATTTTTGTCTCTGAAAATCTTCTCTTCAAAATGGTTAAAATTATTACACTTCATTAACTTCTCATTGGAATGAGAAGAATTTACTCATACCTTTTGATTTGACAAAAAAAGCTTATGGCTAAATTTTCCTCAATTCTAATAACTTTAGTCGAGTATATGTTTCCTCTCCGTCATGTTTCAGATTTTTGGTTTAAATATACTATACACATTTTTCAAAAAACAAAATGTATAGACACCATTTACTGTAATCTGCCACACTATTTTTATGGAAGAAGAAAGTGAATAAAGGTACTTGTTGATCATTAGAACGAGAAATCTAGATAGAAAGGATCTTTTCTTATACAAACACATTTCAAACACCAATGCAATTTGAAATTTGAATACTCTCAAAATACTGCAAAGCATTTAAAAACTTTATTGAAAAACATAATACAACATATACGTGATGAATGTACTTAAAATACATATAATACACATTTAATACAAATGTAAAAATTACAAAATACACAGCATTTAGGAACTCTGGTGATGTAGTGCCTACAGCATTTGACTGCTAACTAGAAGGCTGGCAGTTCAAACCCACCAGCCACTCCTCAGAAGGAAAGTTGGGCAGTCTACTTCTGTAGTGATACCACATTTAGTCCACTTGAATTTAATGTAATTACCAATATATTTAGGTTTAAATCCACCATCTTATTGCATGCTTTCTATTTTATTTTGTGTTTTCCATCTATATTGTGCTGCTCTTTCTCTCCCTTCTTGCTTGCTTTGGACCAATTATTTTTTTATCGTTCCATTTTCTGTCCTTGTTTTTTTTCCCAATAGGCTCTAAATGGATTTGTATTGGTTGTCACTGTAGATGCTTTGATCTTTTATGCTTCGTCTACTATACAGGATTATCTGGGGTTTCAGCAGGTAAATATATTTTTCTTACATCAGTAGAAACCAACGTTTTTAGAAAATTAACTTTCTATTATGTATTTTATAATTTAGCAAAACAGTTGACATTTTGTCTATATGATATCAATTCATATATATATGTTGTAGAAAAAAAAATTATTTTTGCTGAAAGAAAAAGTATTTTTTCTAATATTAGTAATTTACTACATTATAATTTTTTTAAATGTTTATATGATTCATGAATATTGTGCTACTTTCACTTATTTGAGCATCTCCTGTATATATATAAAATTATTTCAGGCCAGGGATAGATTTGGTTGGGAGAGCAGAATAAAAATATATGCCAACAAATAATTAGTGGTTAGTCAGGGACATATAGCTGCTATGAAGTGAATCAAGTGCTGTGTAAATGTGCAAACAAAATACTATGGCTTGTACTTTTAATTATGACTTAATATAGAGTATAGAGGGAGGTCTGGTAGCATAGTGGCTAAAGCACTTGACTGCTAACCAGAAAGCTGGTGGTTCAAACCCACCAGCCACTCCTCGGAAGGAAGGTTGGGCAATCCTACTTCCGTAGTGATACTGCCTCGGAAACCCAAGGAGGGGTCGCTATGAGTCAGGGCTGACTTGATGGCACATAACAACAACAACAACAACAATAGAGTATAGAAGCTTTCCTCCAGGACATACTATTTAAGCTAACCTAAAGACTATATAAGATTTATTTAGGTAGACAATTGATGGAACAGAGGAAGGGAAAATATAAGTACAGTACTTACAGTACTTACATAAGTAAAGTTACATAAGTTTATTTACTTATATAAGTACTTACAATAAGCAGCAGACTAGAAGTTGTCAAAGGAAGCAAATGTGTCTGGCTTGAGTGTTATTAAATGAATGGTGAATAAATGGAGTTGTAACATTTTTGGCATATTTGAGGGACAAGAGCATCAGATACGATTTGAGAACAGATTGTAAGTACTCTTGAATGCTAACTATTCTTGTATACACAAACTGAAACCCACTGCCATTGAGTTGATTCCGACTCATAGTGACCCTTTAGGACAGAGTGGTGTGAACTGCTGCCGCATAGGGCTTCTAAGGCTGTAAATCTTTACAGGAGCAGCCATGTCTTTCTCTTGGAGCAGCTAGTGCTTTTGAACCACCAATCTTTAGGTTAGCAGCCAAGCACTTTAACCACAGCATTAGCAGGACTCCTTTCTTTTACACCAGCTGTTCTCAAATTGTAATATGCATAAGAATCACGGGTAGAACTTGATAAAATCTCTAAGTCTCTTTCCCAGAGAGTTCATTTCAGTTGGAGTAAACCAAACTAAATGAAACCCAACCCATTGCCAGGAAGTCAATTTTGACCTATAGCAATCCTACAGGACAGAGTAGGACTGTCCTAAAGGGTTTCCAAAGCTGTAATCTTTATGGAGACAGACTTCTACATGTTTCTCCTGCAGAGAAGCTGGTAGTTTCCTGCTAACCTTTCAGTTACCAGCTGAGCATTTACCCACTGCATGACTAGGGCACCTTCATTCAGAGTGGGGCCAATAAAATTGAAATTACAACCATCCCACACAGAGGATGCTGAATGAATAACACTGTCTCTATAACACTGTTGTATGAACTTCAGTTTAGGCTGTAGTGTATGCACAATCAAAGCCACTAAAGGTTTTTGTAAAAAAAAAAAAAAAAAGTTTATGCTCCAACCTGTGTTTTAGGTAACTGAGAGTTGTGTAATGGATGGAATAGAGATGGTTTAAATGCAGATTAAGGTCTTAGGGAGACTTATAAGTAGATAACTAAAGTAGTGGTATCTAGCTGTAGGCACAAATCCTAATTTTCATTTTTCCTGTATTTTAAAGAAAATACATTAACATCCATAGAAAAGCCTGTTTGGAACTTAATAAGTTTATATACCTATCTTAATTATAATTTGATATTTTTATTCATATCAGTTAAAATCAGAGAGATTTTTTTTTCTCACATAGCTTGTATATTCTTTAAGAAAACATTCTGGCTGGCATGGGTGGTGATTTAAGGTACTATATTTAAAACTACAAGTTGTGACCTGTTACTTGGTAATGAAGTTGATACAGTGGATGACTACCAACCTTTTTCTTTAGTTGCTTAGAATTTAATAGAGTAAAATAACATAGATTACACAATATGATCACACATCATATTTTTATGAAACTTTTTTCCTAGTATATGTGTGTGTGTGCATGCACATGCATACATCATGTGGGAAAAATGTATCTCTTACTAAGAACTGCCATGAAAAACAAGTTAGAAAAACACTAGTTTAAGGTCTGCAGCCTGAGCACAGTACTGTTTATAGAGGGGCAGGAGGTCAGAGGGATTCTGACATGGTAAAGGCTCAATCCCTTATCTTTATGAGTAAAAATTTAATACAAATAAAACTATTAGAACAGTGAAGAAAATTCATAATGAATACTGTTAAGCTTAGAGAAGTCAGAGGACTGGGTATTCCGGAAGGATTTCCTAGAAGAGGTAGGATAAACAAGAAAGCAGAACTTAACATGTTGCCTTTAAGGAATGGGGAGGTTACTATTTGAGTGAACCCTAGCATTCATCTTGGGAAGGGATGGGAAATAACTTTTGGCTTGTCAGTTATAATGCAGATCTCTTTTTCTAGCTTTTCTTATGTTGGATTACTAGAGAGATTTGGCAAACATTTGATTTGCATCTGTCTTCACTAACAAGCATCCAATAATCTAGACAAGTTTTGAAATTATGTTAATTTTATTTTTTAATTTACAATTTGTACTTTTATTTCCTTCCATATTTTTAATTTAGTCTGATGTCATACATCAGAGTGTGTATGAACTTATCCATACTGAAGACCGAGCTGAATTTCAGCGTCAACTACACTGGGCATTAAACCCTTCACAGTGTGCGGACTCTGGACAAAGAATTGATGGTAAGAATGTTTTGATAACATATAACAGTCTTGTTGACTTTTTAGTATCATTTTGTTAAGGGAAACATTGAACCTTTGTTACTGTTTTTACTTACCCTTGAGTTATTTCAGACTAATGGCAACACCATGTGTTTAGAATAGAACCTGCCTCAAGGCTGTGACCTTTCAGAGTCCCATCACCAGGGCTATCTTCTGAGGTGCCTTGGAATGGATTTGAACCACCAGCCTTCCAGCTAGTCAAGTGCTTAACCAGTTGCAGCACCCAGGAACTTTCCCATTGCCTTTGAGTCAATTCCAACTCAGAGACCCCGTAGGATGGAGTATACACCTTTGGATTTCCTCAGGTTTCCCAAGGCTGTAAACTTAGTGGTCGCAGACTGCTACATCTTTTTCCCACGATATGGCTGGTGGATTCAAACCGTTGACCTTTCTGTTAGCAGCCAAGTGCTTTACCACTGTGCCACCAAGGCTCCTTAGTGACTCCATTCCAAGAAAATCCAAACTCAGGGCTATAGAGTCAATTCTGATTCATAGTGACCCCCGTTGGGTTTCTGAGGCAGTAAATCTTTAAGGAAGTAGATTGCCCCATTCTCCTCCTGCAGAGCAGCTGATTAGTTTGAATCTCCACCTTTCTGGTTAGCAGTCAAATGCCTTAGGCACTGCACCACCAGAGCTCCTTAGGGACTCCATTTTTGTTGTTGTTGTTATGTGCCGTCAAGTCGACCTGACTCATAGTGACCCCTCCTTGGGTTTCTGAGGCAGTATAACTACGAAAGTAGATTGCCCCATCTTCCTTCCAAGGAGTGGCTGGTGGGTTTGAACCTCCAGCCTTCTGGCTACCAGTTAGGAGCATAAAATTCCATGGCAAAGTTAGAGAAGGAATGAAAAGATATGAGTCTATAGGTCTAGGCTTGAGTCAGCTCACAGGATCTAAATGAGCTGAGGAATATTTGGCAGATAAGAGCCATTAATAAGTTTCAAACGAGTAGTGCCGTAGTAAGTGATAAGATAATAACTTTGCATCATCTTGAAAAATGGAGGAATGTCCAAGATTGATACTGCAATGTATGTAAATTGCTCTGTGTTAAACTGCAGCAAATGAAAAAGTGAAATAACGTATACAAGTAGAGAAAAGCTTTTCTCGATACAAGCAGTGTTTTTAGATGTCTGTGAGAATGTTAGGAGCTCTGGTAGTGTAGTGCCTAAGGCATTTGACTGCTAACCAGAAGGCTGGTAGTTCAAACCCACCAGCCACTCCTCAGCAGAAAGGTTGAGCAATCTACTTCCATAGCGATACCACTTTGGAAACCCAAGGAGGGGTCACTGTGAATCGGGTCTGACTCAACGGCACATAACAATAGCAACATGAAAGTCTTAAAAAGAAAAGGCATTAGAAAAAATGGAAATTGTTAATAGTGTTAATTCAATACAAATAGAAACAAAAGTAGGTGAAGTTCTATGTAGTAAAAGTGATGTTCAATATGTTACAAGTTTCTTTTTATTAGTTCCTCTTCTGAAAATGGTTATTTTTTTGTATTCAGAATAGACTTCAGCTTAGAAGTTAACACCAATTTCAGTTATTCATACACTAAATAATTTTGTAGTGAAATGGAAAGTAAATTTGTGTTACTATTATGTCTACAGAAGTTAATAGCCTTCCACAGCCAGCAGTCTATTATGACCCAGACCAGCTTCCTCCAGAAAACTCCTCCTTTATGAAGAGGTGCTTCATATGCCGACTAAGGTGTCTGCTGGATAATTCATCTGGTTTTCTGGTAAGGTGTAAAACCTTATGGTAGTAACATTTAGCATTAAATTATGGAAAACAAAAAAAGAGAAATGAATTCTTTCACTCTTATTTTCTTTGATTATATTTGAGTTCATTTTTTAAAGACTACTACCACAGAATTCAGATTTTTATTATTTCCCATAACCCAAAAAACTATCCTTTAGGGTATAGTTAACAGTGATTGAATGAAACAGCATGTAAACTTGTGTTTTACTTATTTTTAGGAATTTTTAGGCATATGATAGAGAACTGTCTAGTCCTTCTATACTAATAGGATGTTTACTGTCTTGGGATTTAATATCTGCTAGACAGACAAAATCATAGCCTTTTTCCACAAGTTTGGAATAACTGCCATATAGAGGAATTATTGTATATGCATTGTTGCAGAATCATCCTATTGTATAGGATGTTTTTCTGGTTACAAAATTTGAATACCTGTGTGGAATAACTGTAGGGAGCAGCTTAGATGGGATACTCAGAGTAGAGGTGGTCCATCCTCTCAATTGTCTTTATTCTTACCACATTTCACTCCACTGGGTACAGGAGAAGAGAATACAAAGCTTGTTGTATATTCATTTTGTGAGTTATTGGGAATTTTAAATGGATGACTGAATCTTAAACATTAGCAACCCATAATTTTGGGGGTGAGGTGGGGGTAGGATTCTTTCTGAAGATAATGCTGCTGACATAGGGAAGAATTATGCTTTGAGAAAGTTTTCCCACTACTGGTGATCAAAGAATGTATCTCTGAGATTGAATTTCTATGTGTAATAGGGTCTTTTCTTTCTTGTGCTACATCAAATTGACCTCAGAATTAATCCTCGCCTTGATACATTATCTTAATGAATTAAACTGATCATGTTAATATATAAATTATCTTTGTTTCCTGTGTTTTCTAAAGTTATTATTTTCATTTTCACTATGATAGAGCTCTGCATTTTTTTATGTGGCTTTGTAATGATTCATTTCAGTGTTTTAATAAAGTTGTACTTTGGTCTCTATATGGGTGATTAGCACACATAACCATGTATGTATGAAAATTAATGTTTATTTGATGGTTTTATCACTGTTCTTTCATTCAGGAAATAAGCAAAGCACTGTGCTCAGCAATGGCAGGCTCAGAAAATGATACAAGTAGTCCTGTTATGACCATTATTAATTAGGAGCAAGGAGTGGCTCCCTTTTCTTACCAATCCCTCACCCTACCTTTTGAGATATTCCTCATAAACCTCATACTACCTTCCTCATGCTGCCTCATACTACTTCATAAAACCTTAGTTACAGGGCTTCCTGTGGAGAAGAGGAATGAAAACAGGTAGCAGTCATGAGCCTCAGAGATTTTATCTCTGAATTATGAAGAACTCTAAAAGTGGTCATGGTTAAGTCTTTTGAGGAGGAACTATTTTAAACTATTAATTTTAATGAACTGTTTTTGGTTTTTTAAGGCAATGAATTTCCAGGGGAGGTTAAAGTATCTTCATGGACAGAACAAGAAAGGGAAAGATGGATCAATACTTCCACCTCAGTTGGCTTTGTTTGCAATAGCTACTCCACTTCAGCCACCATCAATACTTGAAATCCGAACCAAAAATTTCATCTTTAGAACGAAACACAAACTAGACTTTACACCTCTGGGTTGTGATGCCAAGTAAGTGAGACTTATTTAATCAAATATATGCTCTGTTGCAATAAATCTCTTTAAGGATGTAAAACATATAGTGTAGATCATAATCCTGGTTACAGAGGACCTGGTTATTGTTACGTTTTAGTAGATAACCTTTTAGAGTAATTTTACAAGTGTCACAAATCATCCTAGTATTTTGCAATTTTTTTACAATACTTTCCACAGTTTCCATATTATAAAGATAATACACCTTATGTCAGTAAGACTTAATGTCCTGATGCCATTTGTTTGTTTTACATTTTTACATATAAAAATTTTATTTTATTTTTAGCTGTAAAAGTTTAATCACTCTTGGAAAATTGTGAAGTGTACAACCTGATATTAAACATTCTCTCCATGACCATGGTTAGTCTCCTTTCTAATGTGGGAATTCAGAGAAGTAATAGGAAAACTTTGCTCAAAAGAAATAAAGTATAAACATCATGAATTTTATGTACATAATTTGCTCTTTAAGATTCATCTTTAGCCACACTAGTTTTTATGGTCTTTATTCAGGAGACAAAATAGGGCAAACTTTAATTTGTGGCCAGAAGCAAAAGTGTTACATAGATAATGGTTAATTTTTTCTACCTACTAATTTAAAATTCTGAATGTCAAATAAAACAATTGCAGAAAGTAGCATATAACCAATGAATTTAACCAAGGTGACATTTTAAATTCATTCATATTCTACCTTTTTTAAAACAGAGGAAGAGTTGTCTTAGGCTATACTGAAGCAGAGCTGTGCATGCGGGGATCAGGATATCAGTTTATTCATGCTGCTGATATGCTCTATTGTGCTGAGAACCACATCCGGAGTAAGTTATAGTTCCTTATGAACATGGCAAGGAAAAAAGTGGTATTATTCTAGTACATAGTTCAACTTACTAGTTACGGTAATGTGTTTGAAGAAACTGTATGGATACAGTCTGATCAGTATCATAAAACCAGTAACCAAAATTACTGCTCTTTATTTAACTGCTCTGTAGCTGCCACACAGGAATGTGGAATGTTAATCACTATGAAAATGACCATTTTGGTTGATAAAGCTTTACTTTTGCTCAGAAATTTTTTAAGATATCATTTAATTCATAACTTTATGTTGATATTGATATAAACTTTTAAATTTTATAGTGCTATTTTAAGCTATAGGAAAACATTCTGTATTTAAAATGAGAAAAAAAAAATTATCTAATTTATTATCTAATTTTTTTCTCCCAAACATCTACATTTTATTGGTAGTTTCATATGTGTTACTGGAATAGTCTGATTGGTACATAATCTTCCCTTTAATCTTTTTTTAAAAAATTTACTGAAATAAGATAAAATCATTTGTTAGGAACTGTTTTCATGCATTTTAATATGCTGTGGTAAAAAAAAATATTGTCAAGATAATTCTCTTCTTTGTTGATAAATGAAATACATTTATATATCTGAGGAGCTTTGTTTCAGAGATTCTCTTCAATATTTTGACTTTGTGTTTGATAATTTAATTTTTAAAATTTTGTTTTAGTGATTAAGACTGGAGAGAGTGGCATGACAGTGTTCAGGCTTCTTACCAAACAAAATCGATGGACATGGGTTCAGTCTAATGCACGCTTAGTTTATAAAAATGGAAGACCAGATTATATCATTGCAACTCAAAGACCTCTAACGTAAGAATAAAGACTTAAAATATTTTGCGGTTTCATTTTTTTTTTTATATATTGATAACATTTGGATTTATAAAGCCCTCTTAAATAAAAAAAATCATTCTAAGAGAATTTAGTCTAGAAATAAATAGAAAAAGCTGAGATATCGATATACATATGCATATAGATATCTCAGCTTTTTCAATTTATTTCTAGACTAAATTCTGTAGCATAGTGCCTAGGGAACTTGACTGCTAACCAGAAGCCTGGCAGTTCAAACCCACCAGCCACTCCTCGGAAGGAAGGTTGGACAATCTACTTCCATAGTGATACCACCTCGGAAACCCAAGGAGGGGTCGCTATGAGTCGGGTCCAACTTGTCAGCACATAACAACAACGACAGGATATATATAGAGAGAGAGAGAGATAAGAGAGAGGGCATAGGTAAGAGATACCGAGAGGATCGAATTGACAATAACTAAGTATATTGTTGTTGTTGTTCTAAACCAAAAACCAAACTCACTGCCGTCGAGTCAATTCGACTTATAACAACCCCTCCCTGGGCTTCCAAGGTGGTATCTCTATGGAAGTAGATTGCCCAACCTTCCTTCTGAGGAGTGGCTGGTGGGTTTGAACCGCCAGCCTTCTGGTTAGCAGTCAAATGCCTTAGGCACTACGCCACCAGAGCTCAGCCTCACCCTCCTTATATACAACAAAATGAAATACTGCCCAGTCCTGGGCCATCCCTATGACTGATTGCGGATTGGACCATAGTATTCCATGGGGTTTTCATTGGCTAATTTTCAGAAGTAAATCAACAGGTTTCTCATCGTAATCTGTCTTCACTGAAACCTGTTCAGCATTATAGCAAACACACAGCTCCCCTGACAGATGGCTGGTGGCTGCACAGGAAGTACATTGGCCAGGAATTGAAACCTGTCTCCTGCATGAAAGGCAGGAACCACCAAAGTTCTGACTAAAAGTGTTGAGTTGTATAAATAAATATTTAGTTCTGGGTGTGTGAAAGGAAGAATAAAAGCTAGTACCATCTATAAAATAGAAGGAAAATTATTGCCATTGAGTTGATTTCAACTCTTGGTGACCCCCATTAGGTTTCTGAGGTGGCGAATCTTTGCAGAAGTAGATTATTGTCCCATCTTCCTTCCATGGAGCCACCCTTCTGGTTAGCAGCCAAATGCCTTAGGCACTGTGTCATCAGTATTTTCTAAGTGCAGCATTGACTTGTAAGACTTTCTTATATATTCTGGAAGTGAGTTCTTTGTCAAATATTTGTATTGCAAATGTGTTCTCTCACTCAGGAGAGCTGATTTATGTATATGGCTTGAGGTAAGGACCCATGCTGATCGCCCCCCCACAATATGGTTATCTTATTGACCAGGAACATTTATTGACAAGACCATTTATTGAAAAAGCCATCTTGCCCCCACTGCACCGCTTTTCAATCACTTGTATATAAGTTACAAATATTTTTCTCTATATCTTAATTATGGGAACTCTGGTAGCGTAGTGCCTAAGGCACTTGACTGCTAACCAGAAGGCTGGCAGTTCAAACCCACCAGCTATTCCTCAGAAAGAAGGTTGGGCAAATCTACTTCCATAGTGATACTGCCTCGGAAACCCATGGAGGGGTCACTATGAGTCGGGTCCAGCTCGATGGCAAATAACAACAACAACAACATACCTTAATTTGGTTTATGAATTCTTTTGCTATACAAAAGTTTTTAATATTAATGTTGCCAGTTCTGCCAATCTTCCTTTATAGCTTCTGAGTTTTATATTTTATTTACACATACCTCTCCTAATCAGACTCTTAAATTTTCAGTTTGTTTTTATATATTAATATCTTTTTTCCACCAGAAATTTTTTTTTTTTTCCCCATGGTGTCATGTAGGGATGTAACCTCAGTGTGGAATTAATTGCTATATTGTGGACAGGTCCTAGATCATTTAACTTTCTTCTTATTTATTTATTTATTTATTTATTTTTGCCTGAAGAAAAACAATTTATAGCAATAATCCTTACGGTATTTAGCTAAAATAAATTCTCTCTAGTCAACGCAATTAAAGACTGTTCTTTTGCTTTGCTCTTTCTCTTCCTATGAAATGTTTTCTTTTAAAATGTTGATAATAGAAGAATTCTTCCTAATATATGCAAACTTTCTTACACACAATTTTAGAGATGAAGAAGGAACAGAGCATTTACGAAAACGAAATATGAAGTTACCTTTTATGTTTACCACTGGAGAAGCTGTGTTGTATGAGGTAACCAGCCCTTTTCCTCCCATGATGGATCCCTTACCAGTAAGGACTAAAAGGAGCACTAGTGAAAAAGACTGTGCTACTAAATCAGCTTTAAATAAGGATTCTCTCAATCCCAGTTCCCTCCTGGGTGCCTTGATGCAACAAGATGAGTCTATTTATCTCTATCCAGCTTCAAATACTGTACCCTTTGAAAGAAACTTTTTAAACAAATCTATGAATGAGTGCAGTAATTGGCAAGATAATATTACACCAATAGAAAATGATAATATCCTGAAAAATAAGCAAATTAGTCAATCTCAGGAAATGATACTCTCTGGAGGTCATGCAGGGGTCTTTCAGGATAATAAAAATAGTGATTTGTACAGCATTATGGAAGACTTAGGTATTGATTTTGAAGATATCAAACACATGCAGCAGAATGAGGAATTTTTCAGAGCTGACTTTTCTGGTGATGATGACTTCGGAGACATAGACATAGCAGATGAAGTCCTGACGTATGTTCAAGATTCTTTAAATAAGTCTACCACCATGTGTTCAGGTTACCAACAACAATCCATGGTTCTGAACTCAAACTGTATGGTGCAGGAGCACTTCCAGTTAGAACAACAGCCGCAGCTGCAGCACCACCAAAAGCAGGTAGTGGAACAGCAGCAGCAACTGTGTCAGAAAATGAAGCATATGCAAGTGAATGGCATGTTTGCAGATTGGGATTCTAACCAACCTGTGACTTTCAGTTGTCCTCAGCAAGATCTACAACAATACAGTGTCTTTTCAGACTTACATGGGACTAATCAAGAATTTCCCTACAAATCTGAGATCAGTACTATACCTTATACACAGAACTTTATTCCCTGTAGTCAATCTGTGTTATCACAACAATCCAAGTGTACTCAGTTGGACTTTCCTATAGGGAATTTCGAACCATCCCCATACCCTAGTACAACTTCTAATTTTGAAGGTTTTGTCCATTGTTTACAAGTTGCCGGAAACCAAGAACATGGAATAAATCCACAGTCAAGTGTAGTGACTCCTCAGACTTGTTATGCTGGGGCCATGTCCATGTATCAATGCCAGCCTGAAACTCAGCACGTCCAGTTGGATCAGATGCAGTATGAGCCAGCAATCCCAGTCCCACAGACATTTCTAAATGAGGTAAGGGTTTTTATGAGACTGAATAACTACCTTACAAATGAGTAGATACGAGTTGTAAATTTGTCAGGGATTAGATTTTATTTTTTTATTACCTGTAGTGTTCATGTGAGAGCATTTCTAATTGTATCTGTGACTGCTGTCTTTTAATAAGCCAGTAGTTTTTCTACTACGTTATTAATGTAAGTGTAACGTATTCATCTAAAACATAAAGGAGAAAGAAATCAGGGACTAAAGTAATGAAAAATTCCCTTAATGGAAGATGATCTAAGTTACCAGATGAAACTAGTTAAGAGTATCTTGTTTAGAATAGGAAATTTGGTTATCTTTTTCAATCTGTTAAAAAGTATATGGCCTTTTAAAAATTCAAACTTTAAAAACATATTTGAATTTTTAAACTTAGTTTTTTGAAGCTCAAACTTTTATGTATGTTTGATACTGGGTAAAATCAAATGTCCTATTCTTTCCTAGAATGTCTTTTTCCTAGATTATCCCTGGAATTCAGCCATAGGCTCCTCCAGGTTCTCTGCTCATCTCTCCGTGATACCTGTCAGATCCTCATGTGATGATCCTTTAAGATGGAATTTTTTTTTATGGCATTCTGTACAAAGGCCAACTCAGCTGGCTTTCTTCAGTGGAAGTTAACCTTAATACTGTATTTTTATTTGAATGTGTCATCAGAACCCTTCTAATAGCAAGCACACTTTAAATAGATCTAAAGGATATTCATATTTTTTAAAAAGAGTTAACATAATGATGGTGGCTGCTCTCTTTGGCCACCCAGGGAAGTATATTTAAGTTTAGTTGCAAAGTATATTCTGACTAAAATTAAGTTCATTGGTCCCTGTTTACTGTGTATTAGAGTATAAGAATTTTAAAAAGTGGCATAAACCTTTATCCCTGTTTTCCTAATGTTTTCATACATTGGGTTTATGTGGTTGTATATGATCTTTTTAAATAGAAAGTGATGATTTTTTTAGTTATATTCCTCACTTCCTTCAAATATATTAAAAGTTAGTATTCAGTTACAGTCTGTCTCATAGCATTGCTGCACTGTAAGGATGTGCGGAGTGACAGTGTACTTCAGTCTTGAGTAAAATAATTTGGAAAGTTATTTAATTATTTAAAATCACATTTTGAATGGGGTTTGCATTAGCACCATACAAGTTCTTGACAGTGTGTTGCTCCCTCCTCACTTTGTAATTGCTTCATTATGAATGATAAGATAATAATTCTGTAATCCCGCACATTCCACTAGGGTACTCTCTAGCCACATGTGTGGGTTGAGCACTTGGAATGTGACTAGTTCAGATGGATACATTTTGTGAATGTAAATTAGCCCACAGATTTCACACAGATTTTAGACTTAATATTTAGTGTGAAAAAGAAATGTAAAATATATCAACATTTTTTTATTGATTATGTGTTGAAATGATAAAATTGTGGCTATATTAGGTTCAATAAAATATATTAGTAAAATTAATTTTACTTTTTTAATATGGCTACTAGAAAAATTAAAATTAAATAAGTAGCTCACATTCTATTCCTGTTGCAGAGCACTGTTGTAGACAGTGTGTTTAAAGAGAATTACCTGCATTGTGCTATGACTGATGAGTCATTCAAAACCTATCATTACAAAATAATATTACCTTCCAGTTGAAGACTCAACAAAGCTGCCATTCATTGAAGAAGCCAGATGATGTGATTTTTACTGCACATTCAGTATATGTTTTGGAGGATCTTTTGGAGTAATCAGCATTTTGATTACTAAAGCCTAATGTTATATAGACTTTGTTGTTGTTGTTGTTGTTATTTGCCATCGAGTCGGCCCCGACTCATAGCGACCCCTCCTTGGGTTTCCGAGGCAGTATCACTATGGAAGTAGATTGCCCAGCCTTTCTTCTGAGGAGTGGCTGGTGGGTTAGAAAGGTAGAATTTATTTAAAGCATTTAAGGGCATGATTTTAATGTTTTTGAAAGTTTAAATAATTTTAAATACTAAAATATAAAGGCTCTATGATCTGTGAAACCCTATAGACTTTGTACTGCAATGACTCTGGCATATAGCTTCATATCCAACCTTCCATTGTTCGTCTTTGGTTCCTCCTTCCCTGCTTGCCTTCTTTTCTCTTTTTTTAATAGCAGTTACAGAAACCGGACTGTATTCAGTGTACGAAGGCAAGAAAGAGTATTAGTGTAATACTAATAGTAATACTAATAGTGGTATCTGTTTATTAAAAGTATATTGCATATAAGAAATTAAGGTAATTATAACTGGTATATAATATTTTAGGAATATTAAGAACCCCTTAGAAAATCAGAAGTGACCTCTTCTGGAAAAGTTTTAGGTTATCTGCAAGTTTATTATAGTTCATACATTTCATCATACTGTAGTTTTGGTTTCCACCTATTAGGGTAAATTTTGAAAAGGTGGTTTCCGTACAGTAGCAGGGCCCTGTAGTAATCCTGAATGTCATCAATTAATCACTACCCGGAAGTTGGCTGAGAGTAGTTCTGGTCACCTGCTTATGACAGAGATTATTTAACTGTCACTTTACCCATCAGTTCTATCCTACCAAAGACAACTTACTGATCAGATACTCTCCTAATGTACAGAATCTCAAATCTGAAGTGAAAACAGTTATATTACTTACTTGTACCATCTACAAGATTTCTTGTCAAATTAATAGAGAAACCCAAAGGTTTTTAATGCAACAAATCTTCACCAAATGAAGGGTTTAAGATTTTGCAGTAGTAAACAAATTTGAAGTTTAATAGCATACAGGATTGAGATTTTAAAATTATATGTTAACATGTTATTTAATGGCTTGTGGTATTTGAAAAGTTATTCTAATAGGTGGCATTGCTATGTTTATTTTCAGTTTCAGAATGGAGGTGTTCTAAATGAAACATACCCTGCTGAATTAAATACCTTAAATAATACTCAGACTACCACACATCTTCGGCCTCTTCATCATCCGTCAGAAGCCAAACCTTTCTCTGATATGACATCCAGTGGATTTCTGTAATTTCAAGCCAGTTTCCACCTTGGTGTTTGTTAGATGCTGCTTAAATTAGCTCGTGAAGGATTGCAGAGTAATAGAACTGTCAGGGTTGGGCATCAGCAAGTGTGTATGGGAGTATTGATGCATATTGTTCACACTGTTACTCCAAACCACACTTTTAATTTACATTTTGGGAAAACAAGTCAAAAAATAAAAGAAAAAATTGTGTTTTGTAGTCTATGCTGCCACAGAATAGTGAGATTTCACATTATTCTGAGCCCCATAACATATGCAAAAGTTATTCAGGGGAATTTTCAGATTCTTTTAAATAAGAAAATTTTCCCTATTCAAATTATTTATGTCAGAATAAAAAAGAAATACTTCAAGTTTTGACCTTTTGGACTCTTATTAGTATGTCAAATACAAAGTTACAAAGCTAAACTATTTTTCTCCTGTTCGTTAGCTCTACTATTATCTCAGATGTTAAAATATTAGTGGTTTGGTGTTTTTATAAAAAGACAGTCTCAATGCTTTTCTTCATTGTTAATCTAAGTGCCTCACAATTTTTACTACCTATAACACTGTAGGTTGTATATTTTATATAAAATATATTTTTTCTTTTTTAATTAAATTAATATTCTTTTTATTCACAATTATTATTTGTATTTCTTAAAACTACTCATTTACTAATTTGGGCATGTTTTAACTGCACTACTTACCCACTTTCTTCAGGTAAAGGGCAAATAATGACTGAAAAGATATTTATTATATAATCTAATTGCTTCTAACTCTATAGATTAAATGTTTCTATGTGCCTTATAATGGAAAAATGTAAAAGTAAAAAGCTCTGCCAAATTTTTTCTTAATTATTATTTAGCCATTAAGATAGTAGCACTTATATTTCATCAGTGTTTACAGAAGAAAAAAAAATGTACCACTGTTTATTGGCATCTCCACAATGAAAGTTGGATGTTGCAATGTGAAAAATCTGTTAAATGCAACTGCATTTATTAAATTACAGTGAAGAGAAGCAGCTTTGTTTCCAGGTTTTTAATTAGGAAAAGCATCCATGTTAGTGTGTATAAATTATCTTTAAATACTGTTTTAAATCTATAATCGTTTTTGATAGATTTTTGTTGACTTTATAAATTCACTTCTTAAAACAGTGGGAATTATTTGTTTTTCTCATATTTGAGGAGTGTTAACATTGGAGCTACCAATGTTTGGTGCAAAGTATTGTTATGAGTGAAATGGATGGTGCATTGTATACTTTTGTAGTGAAAAAAATTATTTGTAAAATGCTTTCAATCTTTCATTTAAAAATAGTCCATACTTTATATATACACAAATAATATGTTTGCTTTTATATTTTTTTTTTCAGTGTGTCTTTTTAAGAAGTTAGATAATGAAACCAGCTGCTATTAAGGTGGTATTAAGAAAAAGCCAGTTTATTTAGCTCATTTAACTTCAAACATTAGGTTATTTCTATGATAGAATGACCTTTATTATCAATAAGGCAAAGTAATCACTAGACCAATTTTAATGTCCTTGAGTGATTTAAAAGAAATGTACCACTGTCTTCCATTCTATTTAAATATGACCTTTTACATATATTATTTAAAAAAAAAAAAAAGCTGATGGAATCTGAAACTACGATGTACTATTAAAATGCAACTTTAATTTCTTTTTTAAGTAAGCCAATGTATATATGACAAAATATGTCAGTACCATGCATTTTCAGTCAAAATTAGGGGTCAGTAGAAGCAATTTAAATGTTGAAGAAAAAAAATTTGTCTACAACATTTCATAATTTGTTTCCAGCATGAGGTATAATTAAAGACTTAGCCCCGTGGTCTACAATAATACTCCATTTTTACATTTAAAGCTTTCATTGAAAGTCTTCACATAAACCATTCTTGTTAGCATCTTCCACATTATTGGATGAATTATGTTTAGTGAAAAAGTAGGCTTTATAATCGTGAGTATGACAATAATACACTTCCTATAAAATTAAAAGTTTTGCAAGCAAAAACAATATTGTATATTTGTGTCTATCTAAAATAACTAAAATTTATCCAAGAATAATAAAATCACATTAAACCAAATACATCTTTGTCTGTATTATAAGTACCAAAGAAAGAAAGATGCTTTGTGTATTGCTTTATTGAGGGATTTATTTTCATATGATGTGCAATTCTAAGGATGTAATATGTTCAATTTGAACATTTTCTCTATCAGATTGTTCGTAAAGTACGAGATTACTAGTGCTCCAATTTATTAGGAAGCTTTCAATCGTTACTATTACTTTTCAGTATTGCTCACTTTTAGGATAAATATTATCATGGCTTTTCTCTTTCCCTCAAAATGTTACTGCTTACCTATGCCATGCATACATTTTTATTTGTTTAAAATATGATTTTTAATATCCATACTTACTAAACAGAATTGTATACAATAATATATAATAATAAAATAATCACCATGTATGAAAAGTATGTTTTAATGCAAATTCTTTCTCATCCATATAAATGAAGTGATCATTTATAACAGTTTATAACTATGTTGGATAAAGATAATCTATAATATTTAAGAATATGTTAAATCAATAATTCATAAATTTCTCATACAACTCTACCCTAGTTATTTTAGTATTTACCTAAATATAAAATATATATTGTCAGTAATTTCATAGATTAAAATGTTTCTGAAATGGGCTGTTCATTTAAACGTTGTATTGTCAGCATTATACATACAATAATGTTAGTATCTCAGATCGGGATATAAAGCCCACTTTAATAAACCAGTATCCTTAAGCGTATTTGTGAGGAAGTTTGAGAAGAACCCAGGCTTGCTATATTGTGTGCTTAGATTAGAAAAATTATTGGTCAAACCTGAGCTCTCTCTTTAACCCAAATAGAAATGGCACATAACTCTTTGTCCTTAAATTCTTAACTATTCGACATTCACCAATAACTCTGCAATTAGAATAGATTAAAGAAAATGTTCCAGAGAAAAAAATAGTTTTAATTATAGTAACAGCCAGTTTTATACGAATTTTATGTTTGTCATCAAAAGAAAGTAGCATCACAATTCTGAAATCTTAGATAATATTGAATCTTTTGTATGTTTAAGAATACATGAAATGTTCCATTTTAGTTGGTCTGAAAAAACCACGTAAAAATTCAGATAATTTGTTTCCGATCTCCACTTGTACTCAGTTGGCTTCTGTCCACATGAATGACTTCAGTTTGTCCCCTCTTTTCACCAACTTTGCCAAACATGGAGCCAGGACCATTAGCTACTGACAGGACTGAGTGATACATCTCTTTCTGCAGATGGCATTGCATCAGTGTTTTTACTGATAGAATTGAGACCGTCAGAAATCCATAACCTATCCTACGTGTCCTATACCATCACCTCACAACACCACTGTCCTTGGTTTCTTAAACCTCCTCTCTGTGAGAAGGTTGCCCTACTCTCTGAGGTTAATTATGATTTCTTCCCAACTCTCATACACTTAGCTTCCATTTCTTCTCCAAAGTCTTCTCTTCCTAGGCTTCCTTTTGTACACATCTCTGTCCTGGTGAGGTGGGGATCACTTCTTCTAATAGCCCTTTTCTTTATTAAATTGCTTCTAAATTTTCATTCACAGGAAAAATGTTTGATCTCCTGAAATTTGCTTGCACCATGCATGAGCTTTTTTTTATTCACTTGGCTTTGATGTTAGTAGTTGTCCTACAATCTATCATTCATTTTATCTTTGTTAGCTACTATCCCATATGGTGGTGTTCAGGCATTTGCCTGCTAACCAGAAGGTTGGCAGTTCAAACCCAGTAGCCACTCTGTGGAAGAAAGATGAGACAGTCTGCATCCATGTAGATTTACAGCCTTAGAAATCCAGTGGAGGTTGCTATGAGTTGGAGTCCACTCAGTGGCAGTGAGTTTGGTTTTTTGGGTTTGGTCCCATTGGGCAGCCGACTTATTTCTTATCATTGCTCGTTCTTTATATGTCGTCCCTCAGAAGCTCATCCATTCTGCAACTAATACCTTCATGAGTCACCTCAAAATTCTTTATCTCACCCATAATATCGCACAACATTCTGTTGTCACCTGTAGGGTTTCCATTGGTTAATTTCCAGAAGTAGATTGCCGGGCCATTCCTTCCTAGTTTGTCTTAGTCTACAAAGTCTGCTGAAACCTGTCCATCACAGGCGACCCTGCTGGTATTTGAAATGCCAGGGGCATAGCTTCCAACATCATAGCAACTTGCAAACCACCACCGTACAAGCAGACAAAAGGTAATGGTATTTATTATAAAACAACTCTATTTTGTAAAAACTTCTATTAAGTTCATTGCTTTGCTTAATGTCTACTAGGTAAGACTGATGAGCTATTGTCTTCTCAGAAATTAGACTTTTTGAAAAATATTTGTCTCTTCTGGCAAAGTGCTACATAATTTATTTCACTTACCTCCTTATTTGTGCTGCCTAGAATGCTTCTCCTCTCCTAATCATACCTCATTTGTGACTTCTTGATAACCTCTCCTTTTATTTTTAAAGTTTTAATGTAAACCACCACAAATTCTTTCAAGATGGGATATAACTTACCCATATAAATATGTCAGTAAGTACAGTGGTGTGAACAAAATGCCGAGAAATATGCCATCCATCAGTGCCTTTACATTAAAATGTTGGCCAATAAAACAGCATTTATGAGAGACAGATTGGCTCAGTATAGAACAGTGACTTGAGATGAAGGGATGATGACTATGGACAATAGTCTTAATCCTGTCTTTCCAGAGCCTTTTCAGTTACCTCCATGAGATTCTTGGCTCTCCTGGCCTCTATAATATTCCCAATTGTGACTGTCTTCTACTATTTACTAGCCTATGCGTTGTCTGGTTTTTGTTTGTTTGTTTTTGCTAGATCAGAGTAAACCAAATGTGGCCAGAATGAAAAGCCTTGAGAGGAGTATCTGTTCAAATATATGTAAAATACCCCTTTATGTTCCTATAAATTAGTGGGAGAGAGTGTGGAAAGTTGCAAGTTCTTCTTTTGCAGGTGGTGGTCCTATTGAGTCATAACTGCCTATTCTCATAGGTTGATAAGAAAATTCAAGT